GGAGCCCCCCAGGCTCTGCTGCCTCCTCCCATTTTGGATGGGAAGTGGAGGCTCTGGAGAGGTTTCTGGCCATCCTGGGGGTGCCTTTCTGCCTGCTGCAGAGTCAGACCCACATCATCCTCCTTGGGTTTGGTGAAGCTGCTCTTGTTGCCTATGGTGGAGGGGGGGATTTAACCCCCTGGGGGTCCCAGGGCTGCCTGGCTCCAGCTGTGTCCTCCCAGCCCCCTGGGGTGGAGGTTGAGGAGCATGAGCTGGTACCAGTGCTGCTCCCTGCCTCGTGCAGCCTGATGGTGCTTCCTGAGGAGTTTTTGGACGGCTTCTCTGCCTCCCTCACAGGCAGCCTGGGAGCTGCTTGTCCCCAGGGGGCTTTGGGGAGGGGAAGAAAGAGTCAATCTAAAGAAAATCTTTAAGGAAAAAAAAACCAACAACAAACCCCCAACCAAAAACCTAACAGACCTGGAATAACATATGAAGGCAGAACTCAGGGAACTGTGAATGGAGCAGCTCTGTCACTGTGCTGTCCCAGCCCTGAGCAGGAGGGTGTGTGGTTATTTCATGGGACCTTATAAAAACTCGTAATAATCCCTGGTGGGAGCCCCATGGCCATGGCGTTCCTCCCTGTCCCTGCTCACAGGATTTTGTAGGCATGGGGGAAAAGGGCCTCCTGAGATGGCATCTTGTGTTCTGGGGGTGCCTGGGCAGCCTCTCCCTGCAGAGAGTTTGCCCAAGTTCTCGGCAGTGCGTCGTGGGCAGCAGGAGCCCTGGGTGCTGCCAGGGGTTTGCTCTTAGGAGGCAATGGGATATGGGCAGGGAATTGCTGGGGAGAGGTTTTCTCCTGCAGCCTTTTGGGAAGGGGTGAGCAGGGCAGTATTTGCTTAGAGCCTAGAGAGGAGGTTGTGGTGCTTGTGGTGGGATAAAGGCTGGAGCGAGGCTGCCTGGGCAGCAGGACACGGCACCAAAATAGTAGAAAGGTGTTTTGCCTGAACCACTGAGAGGGGCCAGGGAGGGAGGGAGGCACGTGTGTTGGGGTGGATGTCAGAGATCTGGTTTTAAGTATCATTTTGTACTTCAGCTCATGGCTGAGCTTCTCGAGGAGGTGTCCAGAGGGGAAATGCAGCAGGATGGGATGGTGGTTGTGGCTCTTCCAGCTTGCTGGTGCACCCCTGGTTTTGGGAGGAGGGGAGGAGCTGTGGGCTGGGGGACACTGACCCCATGGAACAGCAGTGCTTGGGGAGGGTTGATTAGAAAGGCAGGCAGGGAGGGAGCAGGGCAGGGTCGTGGGGTTGGGAGGCCAGCAGCCTGACCACTCCATCCCAGTGGGCTGGTGCTCCCTTTTCCTGCACAAATTCTTTTTTGCACCTTGATGTCTCTTTTTCAGACTGCTGTGGGCACCCTGCCCGGGGGGCACTCCTGTGGGCTGGGGGTGGCCTGTGCAGTGCAGAGGTCCTTAAATCTTTTGTGGTGAAACACAAAACTTTGGTACAGGGAAGCAGAGGGAGTCAAACTATGTCCTGGCAGCAACACACCCTCCTGCCCACCTCGATCCCTGTGGGTTTCTTCAGGCCACACATCTCAGGGAAGCACAGGGCTGGTAGTTCCTTGCAGGAGAAATTAAAGGTCCCTCTCCTGATGGCTTTTACTGAGAGAGGTCCCAGCCAGCAGCCATGGGGCAGGTGCCCCATGTCCACACTCATCCCTAGTCCCAGCACCAGACCTCGCTGATCTGCTCCCACCCAGTGTGCTGGGAACACTGGCTGTGCTGCCGGGGTTTGTGGCTCACAGGGACAGTGACACCAGCACTGCCCCTTCCTCGCCGGGGTCGCGCTGCCTTCGCTTCTGGTCTGGGTGCAGCTCCTGCTGTTGGTTGCAGCCAGTGCTGGTTGGGACCCGTGTGGCCCCCGTGCCCTGATGGGCAGGGGGCAGGGCTGGGGTCAGGGAGGGAGGGAGGGATGGAGGGATGATGCTCCGGGGCTGCACTTGCTGTTTCCGTCCAGCTGCCTGTGATCTGATTATGTAAATGTCCCCGGAGCCAGGGGGGAGCAGCAGCCAGCAAGTAGAAATAAATAAATACATATGGAGATGAGAGCACTTGGCTGGGAAGGTGACCTCCTTGCTGCTTGCTCTGGGTGCCTGCCCTGGCCGGCCCCGGGTGCTTCTGCTCTGGAGACTGGGAGGAGGAGGAGGCAGCAGCTGGGGCTTCCCCTGGATGAGCGATGCTGGGGACGTCAGAGGAGCATTTAGGAGGCAGAGCAGGATGTGACGGACCTTGGTGTTACAGCTGAGGAGCTAAACCGTGCAGGGACTCACTGCTGCCCAGAGCTCTGCAAGCCACGCTCTGCTCCACTCCCATCCCAACCTGGGAATCTCCCGTAACACCCTGCTGGGAGAGACTGGAGCAGGGAGAGACTGGAGCAGGGAGAGACTGGAGCAGGGAGAGACTGGAGCAGGGTCCAGCCTCGCTGGGACAAGGACACCCCGTGTGAGAGGGGTGACGAGGAGGAGACGCAGAAGAGTGAGTTGCAATCTGGGGCGGGGGGTTAGGGGGGGATCTGTGAGGAGGAGCAGCAACAGATTAAGGGGATAATTAGAGGAAGAGCAATGGGGAGGAGGGTGCTGGGGAGGAGGGTGCTGGGCTGTGCGGGCTGGTCCAAGGAGCAGGGAGGGCTCCCTGGGCAGCAGGTGCTGCCAACGCCGGTTTGAGTGTCAGGAAGAGCTCCCAGGGCTGGGCGTGGTACCAGGAATGGTTCTGCTGGGGCTGGTTTTGCCACGGTGGGGCTGGGGGGCAGCTGGGCTGCGTGTGAGTGTGCAAGAGCTGCACAAGCTCTGTGTTTGCTTTGTGCTTCCTGAAGAAGTGGGGAGCAGGGAGCGTGGTGGGGCTGGGGCTCGTGTTGCCCCTGGGTTAGTTTGCATTTTTCCTCCAGGTGGATGAGGAGCAGAGGTGGAGGAAGGCTCTGCTGGGTGGAGGAAGGCTCTGCTGGGTGAGGGAGGCAGCCAGGGCAGGGCCACCAAGCCCGTCTCATGGAGGATGCTGGCATCTGCTCTGAGGCAGCATGACATCCCCACATGTGTTTCCCTTTCCCACAGGAACAAACCTACCTGGGATCCCAGCATCTCCCACAGCACCCTGAGACACCAGCAAAGAGCATCCGTGGGGATGCTGCTGTGATTCATTGGTGTTCCTAAAACTGTTTCCGTATTCCAACTGGATTAATGCTCAGCCCGTGCTCAGAGCAGTGTCAGGTTAACCAGGGCAGCCCTAGGGAGTTCTGAGGGTTGATTTTAGTGTTGGGGTAACCACTGTGTGTCTGTGTGTGCAGAACTACTCCCAGCTGGTAGGGAACAGAGTCCCTGGGATCTCCTCCCCAGAGTGACTGTGTGGTCGGGGTGATGCTGCTGGTGTGAACCTGGCATGGGTGGGTGTGTGGGGCTGTCCCTCAGTGTCCCTGAACCCATCATGTCACAGGCAGGATGGACCCAGTCTCTGCACAGTGCTCCTGGCAGCCAGGGAAGAGGTGCTGAGCAGGGAGGGAACAGCAGCCTGCTGGGCTGTTCCCAGTTCACCCCAGTCCAGCCAGTGGGGCTAACAGAGCTCTCCACCCTGTGCATCCTTATACCACAGGGTTAATTCAGGCCCTGCAGGGAGGGAGCTCCAGTTTCAACCCCTGGATTTGCTTTGTTGGCAGCAGGGCCCGTCCCCAGCCACCCTTGCTGGCCCCAGGCAGATGCTCTGCTGCCTAAAATCAGAGGAAAGCCCTGCAGCAGGGCAGGGTTTCTCTTCCCTGGGACTTTTGCAACGGTGATTGCACAGGAGGAGCTTGTCCTTGTATTTTATGCAGCCTGTGTTATTTATTTTTGCTGTGCTAATGACACCAGCACTAATCAGTGCCCTGGAAACCGTGTCACTGACCCAGCAAAGCCCCGGGCTGGGGATCACATCTCCAACCCGACCCTAATCCTCCTGGGAGCAGGTGGCTGCAGCGCGGGGTCCGGGTGGCCCTGGGGATGAGCTGTGCTGCTGAATGAATAACTGGTGGGTGCTTGGCTGTTCCTGGGGGAGGTGCTGGAGGGTGGTGGGTGGGGAGGGGTCTGTTCCTGCCTGCACCCTGGCTGGAGCTCCAGGGCAGCAGAGACATGGAGCCTGGCCCCTGCGCCCGGAGCTGCTGCAGGTTCCTCTGCTCCCTCATGGCTTTTTTAATTTAGGGGTGTGAGGGTCTGATCAGATCCCTCCAAACTGGCAGTGCCTTCCTCCAGCTCCCCTCAGCATCATCCCCCGTGTGGTCACTGGGTCCTTCCAGCCAGATACATCAACTGTGGGGGCTTAGACCTTGTGTGTGTCCGTGGAACCTCCTGTGCCCACTGGGGCTTTCAGCTGGTGCTGCTGCACATGACTGGTTTATCCTCACTGTGCCTCGGAGCTTCTCACCTCTTCCTATTTCTTCTTTCCCCCCTCTTCCTCCTTCTCCTTGTTGTGTTCATCTGACCCCCAAGAGGCTTTAGACTCTGTCCTGGGGCTCTCCTTGGAGCCTCATGTGAGAAGATGGGAGTCACACTGTCACCAGCATCAAGATGCATCTCCCACCTCTGCCCTCCTGGTTATTCAGTAACTTTTGCAGCTTCAGAGGAAGGTTTTGAGCTTTCCTGCCCAGGCAGCTGCTGGCTCAGCGTGTGGGTGGGCTGAGCAGGTTGGAGATGGGGATTGCTCTGTCAGCAGTGCCTGGTGGGAGTCAGCAGCTCTGCTGAACTGTGAGACCCCAGCCAGGAGCTGCCTCGGGTGGGAAAGGCAGGTGAGCCCTGCCTGTGCCTCCTGTGAGCTACAGGTCACCCTCCAAGAGTCTGCCTGCTGGATCATGCACCTCCGGGAAGGATGGGAATGTGGGGAGGGCAGATAGCAAAGTGAAGCTGGGTTATTCCCTGCTGGAGTTGTGCCCCTGATGTCCCGAGGGTTGTGTTCACCTCTCCCCTGGGCTGGTGCACTGGGATGCTTCTCACCAGCTCCTTCCACTAGCACCTATCAAAGGAGAATGGACTGAGAACAGCCCTGAGGAGAAGGACTTGGAGGTGTTTGGTCAGGAGAAGCTCAATATGATTGAGCAAAAAAGAAGCATTTGCAGCCCAGAACCCACCCGTGTCCTGGGCTGCATCCCCAGCAGTGGGACCAGCAGGGCCAGGGAGGGGATTGTCCCTTCTGCTCTGCTGAGCCCCCTGCAGGGCTGGAGCCAGGGCTGGGGTCCCCAACACAGAAAGGACATAGAGCTGTTGGAGAGAGGCCAGAGGAGGCCACAGAGATGATGGAAGGGCTGGAGCAGCTCTGCTCTGGAGACAGGCTGGGAGAGTTGGGGTGTTCAGCCTGGAGAAGAGAAGGCTCCAGGGAGACCTTAGAGCAGCTTCCAGTGCCTGAAGGGGCTCCAGGAAAGCTGGGGAGGGACTTGGGACAAAGGCAGGGAGGGATGGGATGAGGGGGAACAGCTTTAAACTGGAAGAGGGGAGATTTAGATTGGATATTAGGAGAAAAATTCTCCCCTGTGAGGGTGGTGAGAGCCTGGCCCAGGTTGCCCAGGGAAGCTGTGGCTGCCCCATCCCTGGCAGTGTTGAAGGGCAGGTTGGATGGGGCTTGGAGCAGCCTGGGCTGGTGGGAGGTGTCCCTGCCCATGCAGGGGGTGGGACTGGATGATCTTTAAGGTCCCTTCCAACCCAAACCAGTCTGGGCTCTGTGGAATGGCAGCACTGCTCTCCTGCAGATCAGCCTGGGAGGAAGTTACAGCACTGGCAGAGCAGTGGGATATGGGGAAGCTGCTGCTAAACAAGCTGCTCCCAGCAGCTCTTTGGCACATCTCCTGCATCAGCACCATTTGCAAAGGCATCAGATGAGCCTGAAATCAAGGTACAAACCAGAACAGCTTCCTGCAGCTCCCAGGGTTGGAGCCACGGGCACTGCCAGCTGCTCCCTGCCCCTGCAGCCCCGCGGCTCAGCACAGATGCTCTTCAGCCTGGAGTTTGCTCCACCAGGCAAATGAGAAGAGAAGCAGCAGTGGGAGCCTTGTTAAATCTGTCTTTGGGAGAGCCATTTGCAGGCCAGAGTTCTGAGTCCTCCCAAGCCACGGTCAGGACTCCAGAGGGGCCAAAAGTGGAGACCAACTGCACTTGCAGCGTTGGCTCTTCCCCTCTGCGGGTCCCTGCGCTGCTGCCGCGGGTGTTGGTGTTTCAGGAAGCCATGAGGAAGGAAGAAACTGCAGCAGCCACCTGGAGGTACCTCCCTGAGGGGCAAGGGACAATGCCAGGAGCTTCCCAGGGGTGTGATTTTTGGCACACAGGGCAGGGGAGCAGCCAGCAGGGGCCGTCAAAAGGAAAAGCTGAAGACGTGAGGGTTGTCAAAGGAGAGCAGCAAAGCCCTGCAGGGGCATCACTTGGGGCTGGCCACATTGCAGCAGGAGGGCTGAGCATGAGGGACCTCCCTGCACATCTTCCCTGTGTGTCCTCACTCAGCAGGTGCCTTCCTTGGTTTCTGGGCATGGAGCAATGCTTTGCAAACCTCACCCTGTATCTTTCCTGGGCCGTGGGTGCTGCTGGTGTCACTTCAGCCCATAACCCATGGGCAGTGTTGGGTTGTTGTGCTTCTTGGAGCCACCATGAGAATGCCCTTTGGTCATGCTGAGTCCGTGGTGAGGAGGGATCCAGTAGCCAGCAGAAAGGCCACGTGGGTGTGGGATTAGAGCCCGTTAACACAGCGGGGCTGGTGGATTTGCTGCTGTTTCCCATTAATCCTCTATTTTACAGCATGGTTCATGTCTGTCCTGGCACTTGCTGCAGCCACCAGTGCTGGCCACAGACTGTCTCTGCTGCTCTGGGCCTGGGGTTGGGGCTTCTTGGAACAGCTACACCCCGGGCACCGTGTGTTTGGTTGGTTAAGCAGCACTGAGCCTGTCTCATGGCAAGGGGGAGCACTGGTGGTTGTGACATTAAGGCAGATGGCCCAAAATAACATGATATGTTAATAAAACTCACAGAGACAGAACTGCAGGACCAAGTGTGACTCCTACTCAAGTGTAGACATCACCCTTGTGGGTGTGTCCAGTAGATGTCTTTGCTGTGGATGTTTCCAACATGGGCTACTCTGTTTGGCTCTCAGGGAGCCCACAGATAGAGAAGCAGGCATGGCTGGGTCATGAGGTGCCACCTGGAGTGAGAGAATCAGGTTTTGGGAGCACCTTGGCTGAGCACTGGGGGTCTTGCTGAGATGCTGGCCTGGGCAGTGGGCAGGGTGTGCTGCAGGTCACCCAGGGGTGGGCTGGAGCCTGCTCTGCTCCCATCTCTTCCTGCTCCCCATTGGGGCATTAAGGAGCTTTTTCAGGGCTGCATTTCTGTGGTGCTTGTTTTGCCTGCACGGGGAGCTCCTTCCAAAGTGACCTTTAAAAGGAGGGAAAGCAAAACAATAGAGAGTGGCATCATTATTGGTCTCCACCCCACACCTACTGTCCCTGCTGGTTTTTATTGGATGCCACCTCATTTTTGGGGGATACTGGTGACCTGGCAGGGCTCAGCCCAGCACCTCCTCTCAGGTGCCTTCTTGCCACCAGCCGTGCCCCATGGAGAGGCAGCTTGTGCTGTTGATCCCTGCAGGACCAAGTGTGACTCCTACTCAAGTGTAGACATCACCCTTGTGGGTGTGTCCATCGTAGATGTCTTTGCTGTGGATGTTTCCAACATGGGCTACTCTGTTTGGCTCTCAGGGAGCCCACAGATAGAGAAGCAGGCATGGCTGGGCCATGAGGTGCCACCTGGAGTGAGAGAATCAGGTTTTGGGAGCACCTTGGCTGAGCACTGGGGGTCTTGCTGAGATGCTGGCCTGGGCAGCGGGCAGGGTGTGCTGCAGGTCACCCAGGGGTGGGCTGGAGCCTGCTCTGCTCCCATCTCTTCCTGCTCCCCATTGGGGCATTAAGGAGCTTTTTCAGGGCTGCATTTCTGTGGTGCTTGTTTTGCCTGCACGGGGAGCTCCTTCCAAAGTGACCTTTAAAAGGAGGGAAAGCAAAACAATAGAGAGTGGCATCATTATTGGTCTCCACCCCACACCTACTGTCCCTGCTGGTTTTTATTGGATGCCACCTCATTTTTGGGGGATACTGGTGACCTGGCAGGGCTCAGCCCAGCACCTCCTCTCAGGTGCCTTCTTGCCACCAGCCGTGCCCCATGGAGAGGCAGCTCTTGCTGTGCATCCTCCAGCCAGCCAGCTGAGGGTCACTCCAAGGATTTGGGGCAGATTTCCCGTTATTTCAGCAGTCTGTGTTGATCTGGATGTTTCCCTGAGGTGCTGCTGCTGGTGGTGTCCAGCCAGCCTGGCCTCAGGCCACTGCCACAGCAGGTGACTGCACATCTAGCTGTGATCTGTGTGACATGGTGTGGGATTCAATTCGGCTCCATCCTTGTGTTTCCCCCTGTGCTCTCTGCTCGGAGCAGCCCAGGGGCTGGGGGGAAGGACAAAGCCCTGCCTGTCTCACTGCCCTGAGCCCACAGGGCTCATTGTTGGGCTGGGCCTGCAGTGCTGACACGCTGGGAGTGTGTTCAGAGCTGAAAGAGGAGCCAAACTCCCCCTTCCCTGGGGGCTGTCAGGCTTGAGCAGCAGCACAGATGTGTCCCAGGGTTTTGATGACTCCAGGAAGGAAGGGAGCACTTATCTCCAAGGCACCAGGCTCTTTCTACTGATGAATGAAGCGGTGGCTCTTGCTGTATAATTCATCATTGAAAAGGAGATGATTGAACCCATCTGGCAGTTTCCTTCTCTCCTGTCACTCCTGGGCGATGAAGTGGTCCTTGTCCCACACAGGCAAAGGAAAGGTCATGTTGAGGAGCAGGAGATGTTGCTCCTAGAACAGCAGGCACTTTCCTGGGAGGTTTTTTCCTCCCCAAAGGTTGGATTCGCAGGGCTGTTCCTCTGGGATGCTGGGGGCAGGGGGGGCTGCAGGTTTGGGTGTGTTCCCTTGGGATCCATCAGCTTTGCCTTGGAGGTGGCTTTGTGAGGACTTCCCCGAGGGGTTCCCACCCCCCTTGGTTCACAGCCTGGGCTGGAAATCTGGCACAGCCTGATGCCACCATTGACACTTTCAAGATAATTAACCTGGTGTCTGTGTTTATGTCTGTTGATGTTTGGCTCCTGTTGAGGGCCCAGGAGCTGTGTGACACCACCACCTTGACAGGACAGGGCTGGCCTCGGGTGCTCCTTTTCAGCTGCTTAAATAATCCACGGGCTGCTGACAACGTTCCTATTAGCCTGCAACAAGCTGTGAAATCTGGTCTATTTGCCATGACAAATGTGTGAAAGCTGCTACATTTGCCCCTGGTGGCTGCTGGACGTGGGGACAGACCATGGAGCTGGTGGCACCACGTCTTGCCTCCTGCTTCCCAGCAGGGCCTTGCTGGCACCTGACCTCTTCCTCCATGGGAATTTGCAGGAGCCTCGGGTACTTTTCCACAAAAAAAAGGAGGAGGCCACAAAGATGCTATGAAGGCTGGAGCAGCTCTGCTCTGGAGCCAGGCTGGGAGAGTTGGGGTGTTGAGCCTGGAGAAGAGAAGGCTCCAGGGAGACCTTAGAGCAGCTTCCAGTGCCTGAAGGGGCTCCAGGAAAGCTGGGGAGGGGCTTGGGACAAGGGCAGGGAGGGATGGGATGAGGGGAACAGCTTTAAAGTGGAAGAAGGGAGATGGAAATTAGGCATGAGGAAGGAATTCTTAGCTGTGAGGGTGATGGGAGCCTGGCCCAGGTTTCCCAGGGAAGCTGTGGCTGCCCCATCCCTGGGGGTGTTGAAGGGCAGGTTGGATGGGGCTTGGAGCAGCCTGGGCTGCTGGGAGGTGTCCCTGCCCATGCAGGGGGGTGGATCTAGATGATCTCTAAGGTCCCTTCCAACCCAAACCAGTCTGTGATTCTAATATGCTAGGACAAGCACCAGGGAAATCACTTATGCTTCCAGTCCTGGGTTCAAGAAGATGAACCCAGCATCCTTGATGCTCCTGGAGCAAGCACTGCTGGGGTCAGCATGGCCACTGCAACCAGCCCTCCTGGTGGGGCTGTGTGAGCTGTGCTGGCAGGGCTGCAGCAGTTGGTGTCCCTCCTTGTATGCTTTGTGATCCTGGCAATTGGAGCTTGGTGATCTTTAATGTGCCTTCCAACCCAAACCGGTCTGTGATTCTAATATGGGCTGTGACATGTTCTCCCCGTGCTGCAGATGATGATGATGATGATGAGGGCAGATACCTGGAGATATCCTTAGATGCACTTGGCCTTGACATCCCAGCTGTGCAGCTCGTGGGGGAGTTGCTTTTCCTTGGCATTCCTCCCTCAGCCTGGGGGCTCTGCTCTTCCTGGAGCCTCTTGCCCTTGGCCAGGGTGTCCCCGAGCAGCACAGCCTGGATCTGTGCCCCGTCACTCCCCTACAGCCCCGGAGGGTTCAGCTGTCACTAATTATAGTCCCTGCTCTGTCAGGGGTTTATAAGCTGGATTCTGAGGTGTTGCTGCAATTGTTTGCACCTTGGAAAGCTGAGCCAGGGGATTAAATGGAGTGAGTGAGTATGACCTGGGATGCTGGAGTCGCGGACGAGTTCACGTCCCCTGCCCTCAATCCAGAACCGACCCGTGGCAGCCAGTCCTGTCCCTGTGGTGTCACTGGTGGGAGGTCACTGGTGGCACCCGTCCCTTTTCTCCTCAGCTGCCTCCCTCGGGCCCTGCAGAGGGAGGTCACTGCTGTGGAACTTTGCTGCCCACCTTGCCCCGGGCGGGTTGCGGAGCTGTCACTGCTGGGGACGATGCGGTGGCGTGTGAGGGGTGAAGCAGAAGGTCCTGGCTCCCCGGGGGGGCTCTGAGCCTCTCTTTGAGGTAAGGTGGGAGCTGGGGGCATTCAGGTGGCTTACAGCCCTTTGGCCCCCAGCTTCTCCTGGAGCAGGAGAAGGCAGGAGGACAAGGACCCTTGAGAGCCAGCTGAGCTGTTGGGCAGGGTCAGTGGCAAAAGGGGAGTGGAGCTGGGATTCATCCCAGTGCAGAGCAGAGAGCCAAACCCATCCATGGTGGAGACTCGTCAGAGCTGGGGGCATGAAGAGATTTGTCTCCTTCTCTGGGTCAGAACTTGTCCTGGGGCCTTGTCACACCATGTCCTGCTCTAGCTGGGCCTCCTGGGCTGCCCCAGCAGGCTGAGGGGCTGCAGCATCACCCTGGGCATGGCTGGAGTGTAGATGGGGGGGCCAGGGCACCCAGGTGGGATCCCACCCTTATGTGGTATTGGGGTGGTGGCAGCAGGGAGAACGTCTCCCACCTTTCATCTCCTGTGAGGCAGGGACACATTGACCTGCACCTTCACTTCTGGCTGGGCTGCATCCTTCCCTGAGAAGGAAAGACCTTTGAGGAGACCTTAGAGCAGCTTCCAGTGCCTGAAGGGGCTCTAGGAAAGCTGGGGAGGGACTTGGGTCAAGGGCAGGGAGGGGTGGGATGAGGGGGATGGGTTAAAACTGGAAGAGAGGATATTGAGGTTGGACATGAGGAGGAAATTCTTAGCTGTGAGGAGTGAGAGCCTGGCCCAGGTTGCCCAGAGAAGCTGTGGCTGCCCCATCCCTGGCAGTGTTGAAGGGCAGGTTGGATGGGGCTTGGAGCAGCCTGGGCTGCTGGGAGGTGTCCCTGCCCATGCAGGGTGGGACTGGATGAGCTCTAAGGTCTCTTCCAACCTAAACCAGTCTGCGTTCTGTGATTCTAAGGTTGGGGTGCCCTGAGAGTCTCCTGGCTCTTGGTAGCCTCCATGGGGTTCCCATCAGTGAGGATGGACCCCACGATGCATTATTGGGAGCTTTGCTGAGCACCCCAGGTTCCCTGCTGGGGATGTCCTCCTGCTGTTCGGGGTGCAGTGGGTGATGTCCTGACTTGTTCCACCTGTTTGCAAAGCAGTGATTGGAAATGGGGGTGCAGGGCCTTGAGGGGTTTTGGGAAATGGCTGGTGGGTATTTGCTGTGCCCCTCGTGCTGCTGGAGTACCCTGATGTCACCCACAGGGCTGCTCCTGGGCAGTAGCACATCCCCATACTGGGGCTGCTGGTGGGAGGATCTGGGGTTTGAAGTGGTTGCTTTTGGGCTTCTCCTGCTGCCAGTCCCAGCCTCTGCTCTGGCTGTGCTTGGGGCAGACCTGCCCAGGGCAGCCCCCCTGGTGCCACCTCCTGTGCTGGCTCTTGTGCTCCCAGCTCTTCCATCCCCCCTTCCTTGCGTGACCACTTCCTGCTCAGGACCTCACCATGACCCCCAGACCCACACCTGGCAGGATTTCCCCCTCTCCAGCCCTGTCTTCCACACCCCTTGGCTCCCCTCTCCTCCAGGACCATTTTCCTGGCCACACTTTTGTGCTGTGCAGCAGCAGCAACAGCCCCAGGAGCTGGTTGTGCTCAGTCAGCTGGAAAAGCATCTCGGTACTGGATGTCACCGCGAGTGGTGGCCGAGCTGTCCCAGCCTGGAGGAGCAGACCCAGCTGCCTGCTCCTTCTGAGCCATTTCCTTCTGGATTTGCCTCCCCCGGGAGCTGTGGGTGGCCTTGCTGGTGTGTCCCCTGTGCCACACTGACCCTGGTGTGGTGTGTCCTGGAGGGGATGGGGATGGTGTGTTGTGAGGGGTCTGTCTGGAAGGGGAAGGGTCTGTCCATGGGGCAGGTTCAGCTCTCTGGGCTTTTGCAGCTCTTCCCAGGAATTGTGTCCTGTCCTTCAGTGGAGGGAGAAGGCAGAGGCCATTTAATGGCAGCTGCTGGCACTGGGGGGACACAGCCCTGGGGATGTGGGACTGGGGCCGTGTTTGAGGCCCCTGTATCTGTCCTGGGAAGGGTCATGGTGGCTCCTCCCTGGAACTGGAGCAGGTGCAGGCAGGGGCTGTGATGTGGTGGCTGCTGGTCTTGGCTTGTCTGGGGAAAGGTGGGGGTGGCCAGAGCATCCTCTGGTGAGGGGCTGGGGCTCCCTGTGGGTGGTGGGCTGGGCTGGAGCTGAGGTCTGGCCCCTGGTGGGCAGGGTGAACCATGGGGGTGAGGTGAAACCAGACAGCTGAGCCTGGGATAAAGGCTGGGAGTCATTGCCCTGGGATAGCAGCCTCCCCAGGGGAGATGCTGGTGTCTGAGCTCCTCACCCCCAGGTCCATGCCACCCTGGGCACACATGAGGGCACTGGGGGTTTGGGGCACATTTTGCCTTGGGAATGGGCTCTGTTGACAGAGGCAGCAGTGGAAAAATACACCCTGAGCCCTGTTGTGTGCTGCTCTCACCTCCAGCCAGCAGGCGTGGGAGCTACCTGGTGGGAGGAGGTATGAAACCAAATTAATAACTTGAAGTTCCTCAGCTGCAGGTAGGGGGCCAGGCTGGGGGGAGGTGTCTTGCAGGAGGTTCTGTTGCCACCCCTGGTTTCTCTACCAGCTTGCAGAGGGGATGCTTGCTGGGATCCATCTGGGTGCTGGGTGACTGCAGTGGCTTGGGTCCATGTCTGGGTTACAGAGGAAGATGCTGCAGAAATGTGGCCCAGCAGGCTTCCAAAAGCAGGGAATAAGCCCTGCACGTGGCCCAGCTGGCCCCTATACCCACACCCCCCCAGGCTGTGGGATGCTGCCAGGAAGAAGCATCGTCCTGACCTGCTGCATGGAGGCCCTGCTGCCTCCCAGGGTTGGAGGCCACACAAGGACCATCTCCATCACCTTCCCAAAACTTCCCTGAGCTCGGTGCAGTCTGCTGGCAGTTGGCACTTCTCCGTTGCTTTTTTACATTCATGGAAATAAAAGGGTACAGATTTCCCTCTGGGACAGGGTGTGGATCCTCTGTGAAGCTGGGCATCCTTGGGACAGGAGGGCCCAACGTTTTATCTGCTGGGATTTTAATTTGGGATGTTGATTCCCATTGACTGACAAGATGATTTCTCCTCTGCATCCTGCAGCTCCCCAGGGACGTGCTGCCTTTGCCTGCCTCCTCTCTAATTACCTGCTTTTCCCATAATTTATTGTTTTACCTTACATACCCTGTTTAATTGCAGCAGGATAATTACAGGTGATCTCCTGGCTCATCGTTTTAAAGCAATCAACTCCCTGAGCCAGGGACAGCAGCTTCCATCCTTGGTGCCAGTGAGCTGCACCAAAACGGGTATTTTTGCCTGCAGAGCAGGACCTTTGGAGCAGATAATGAGCTTTGCTGGCCAGGAAGGTCACAGCTGCTGTCTCCTTACTTGCCCTTGTGGTTTCATCCTCTTAGCACAAGGCATCAGTGTGTCAGAGCAGCCAGCCTGCCTGCTCAGGGCGCTGGGCAGGTGCTCCAAGTTGGGTCCCAAGGCATAGGGGCTGGGGGATGTAGGATGGGAGCACAGTGAAGACTCTGGGGGTACAGGACCCTGACAGCTCCCTGCCTGCAAGCAGAGAAGAGCCGAGCAGGGAGCCCTGCTGCAGTGCTCTGAGCTTGCCAGAGCCATGTTGCCCGTGGTGGCACCAAGGAGCTGTGCAGGGCTCTGCCCTCACCTCGCCCAGGAACCTTTCCCTCTGCTCTCTGGGCTGGTTGGCTCCTGGTGGGGTAATGGTGCTGTTAATTAGGAGAGGAGGGGAGGAACTAGAACCAACACCTAGAATCATCCTAGAATGATTTGGGTGGGAAGGGACCTTATAGATCATCCAGTCCCACCCCCCTGCAAGGGCAGGGACACCTCCCACCAGCCCAGGCTGCTCCAAGCCCCATCCAACCTGCCCTTCGACACTGCCATGGATGGGGCAGCCACAGCTTCCCCGGGCCACCTCCTCTCTAATTACCTGCTTTTCCCATAATTTACTGTTTTACCTTACATACCCTGTTTAATTGCAGCAGGATAATTACAGGTGATCTCCTGGCTCATCGTTTTAAAGCAATCAACTCACTGAACCAGGGACAGCAACTTCAATACATAGTGCCAGTGAGCTGCACCAAAACGGGTATTTTTGCCTGCAGAGCAGGACCTTTGGAGCAGATAATGAGCTTTGCTGGCCAGGAAGGTCACAGCTGCTGTCTCCTTACTTGCCCTTGTGGTTTCATCCTCTTAGCACAAGGCATCAGTGTGTCAGAGCAGCCAGCCTGCCTGCTCAGGGCGCTGGGCAGGTGCTCCAAGTTGGGTCCCAAGGCATAGGGGCTGGGGGATGTAGGATGGGAGCACAGTGAAGACTCTGGGGGTACAGGACCCCGACAGCTCCCTGCCTGCAAGCAGAGAAGAGCCGAGCAGGGAGCCCTGCTGCGGTGCTCTGAGCTTGCCAGAGCCATGTTGCCCGTGGTGGCACCAAGGAGCTGTGCAGGGCTCTGCCCTCACCTCGCCCAGGAACCTTTCCCTCTGCTCTCTGGGCTGGTTGGCTCCTGGTGGGGTAATGGTGCTGTTAATTAGGAGAGGAGGGGAGGAACTAGAACCAACACCTAGAATCATCCTAGAATGATTTGGGTGGGAAGGGACCTTATAGATCATCCAGTCCCACCCCCCTGCAAGGGCAGGGACACCTCCCACCAGCCCAGGCTGCTCCAAGCCCCATCCAACCTGCCCTTCAACACTGCCAGGGATGGGGCAGCCACAGCTTCCCTGGGCAACCTGGGCCAGGGTCTCTGTCCAAACACTCTTTAGCTGCCTCTCTTCATCTTCAGCACTCCCGTTGTCACTAGTGTGTGATACCCTTGGGGAACTTCCAATGATCCAAAATTAATACCAGGACTTTAAAAAAAAGCCCTGATTTACAGTCAGATTTCCCGTCTCATCTCCAGCCTTGTGCTGCAGATGTGGTCTCCTCCTTGGGCCATGTTGGCACAGCTCTGCTGCCAACCTTTTTCTCCAGCTGTTTTTGGCACAACCACCTGGCTGCAGGACCCTGTCCCAGCACTCACATTAATTACTGGGGTTGTCAAAACTTCCAAACTGCCAGGCTGTAAAAAACTTCCAGCATCTGGACTGGGCTGTGGCTGAGATAAGTGAGTGGCTCGTCCTTGGCCCCTGCTCATTGCCAGGAGGAGATAAGGGCACCAAGGCAGCTTGTTTTCCTGTCCCAAAGCTGCCACAGGATGAACACACTAATTTGGGACATCTCTGGCCCCTTTTCCCACAGGCTGTGATCACAGCAATGCCAGGGGGCTTATGGGGCTGCAGTGGTGTCTGATGCCACCAAGAGCTTCTCCTGTGAGCCTTGGTCATGGTGTCCCTGCTGTCCCTGACTGCATAGGACAGGGACTCTGCATCCTGCAAGGCATTGCTTGGTGCATCCCATGAGCCCTCCTTCCCTGCCTGACCCTGCAGCTGGTGGGTCCTGTTCCCTGGAAAGAGGCCTATTGTGGAGCTTTTGGCCATGGTGACTGTGTCATGTGGGCTAGGCCAGTGTCTACTGGGCTGTGTAGCTCTGCCCAGGAGCTGGGCAACCTCCCTCCCTGCCTTCTTGAAGCAAAGGACTTGCTGACTCCTGACTTCAACCCCCAGACCTTGGAGACTGTCATGCTGGTGAGCAGCTTCTCCTCCTCTGCAGGATGGGGGATAGAAGTGGCTGCTGGGGGTCTTGGAGCATCTGCCAAGGGCTGGGCTTGGTTGAGGTGTGTGTGAGCCCAACCTGGGCTCCTGGGACAGGTGATGGGGTTGGGGACCAAGAGCAGGGTGCAGGGCAGGGGCAGGGTGGGAGGTGGGGTTTCATGGCTTCAAGTCAGTTGTCTCTTGCAGCCCTCTCCTTGGAGGTGATGTAGGTTTGGGTGGTCAGAGTTGAGCTGGTTTTAGCCCCACAGGTACAGGGGATTGTGCAGAGCTCTGGGAGGAGCAAAGCCTGGAGAAGAAGGAGACTCAGGGGGGACCTTCTCACTCTCTTAACTGCCTGATAGGAGATTGGGGTCTGCTGTGGGTCAGGATCTACTCCCAGGCAACTGGCAAGACAAGAGGCCCTGGCCTGAAGCTGCTCCAGGTGAGGTTTAGGTGGGATATCAGGAAGCACTTCAGACATTGGATGGGCTGCCCAGGGCAGTGGTGGAAGCACCATCCCTGGAGGTGCTCCAGGAAAAGCAGGAGGTGGCACTTAGTGCCTTGGTCTGGAGATGTGGGGGTGTTGGTCACAGATGGACTTTGATGATCCTGAAGGTCTTTTCCAGCCTTGGTGATGCTGTGGTTGCATCTCATACAACCCTGGTCCCAGGAGAGGAGGAGGGGAAGTGGTGGGGACTGAGTGACAGAGTCACCCTGTGCCAGTGCCCACCCTGTGACCGGCTCTGGGGCCGTGCTGGGTGCTGACGTGTCCCTCCTTCCCTCCCTCCCTTCCAGGCGTGCCGGGATTTCCTGGAGCTGGCCGAGGCTCACGGGCGGAGATGGCAGCGGGCGCTGCAGCATGAGCGGGAGCAGCGGCTGCGGCTGGAGGAGACCATCGAGCAGCTGGCCAAGCAGCACAACAGCTTGGAGCGAGCCTGCCGGGGGGCACCCAGTGCCACCCCTGCCCCCAAGGGTGAGCCCGGGCACGGGAGCTGCTCCTGGGCCTTCCCAGGGAGTCAGCAGGGCTGGGAAAGCTGGGATGCCCGGGGGGTTTTTGGTCACAGATCCCATTCCCGTGTGTTGGCCTTCGCTGCTAACCTGGTGAAGTTCAACAAGGGCAAGGGCAGAGTTTTGCATCTGGGGAAGAACAAGCCCAGGGACCAGCACAGGTTGGGGCTGAGCTGCTGGAGAGCAGGGCAGGAGAAAGGGGCCTGGGGGTCCTGGTGGGCAGGGGGATGAGCATGACCAGCCATGTGCCCTGGTGGCCAAGAAGGCCAATGGGATCTGGGGTGGGTTAGAAAGGGGTGGTTAGTAGGTCAGGGAGGTTCTCCTGCCCCTCTGTTCTGCCCTGGGGCCACATCTGGGATGTTGTGTCCAGTTCTGGGCCCCTCAGTTCCAGAAGGACAGGGAACTGCTGGGAAGAGCCCAGGGCAGAGGCACAGAGATGCTGGAGGGAGGGGAACATCTCCCTGCTGAGGAAAGGCTGAGGGAGCTGGGGCTGTTGGGCTTGGAGAAGAGGAGACTGAGGGGCCACCTCATCCATGGGCACAAATCTGTTCAGGGCAGTGTCAGGAGGACAGAGCCAGGCTTTGTGCAGTGATGTCCAGTGACAGGACAAGGGGCAGTGGGTGCAAACTGGAGCCCAGGAGGTTCCATGTGAATCTCAGGAAGAACTTCTTTGCTGTGAGGGTGACAGAGCCCTGGGCCAGGCTGCCCAGAGAGGCTGTGGAGTCTCCTTCTCTGGAGACATTCCAACCCCCCTGGCCACGTTCCTGTGTGATGTGCTCTGGGTGCCCCTGCTCTGGCAGGGGGGTTGGGCTGGGGGA